AGAATACTGACTTTCTCAGAATTCTGTTTTTAATCTCAGAATTCTGACCGTTTTTCTCAGAATTCCGACTTTAATCTCAGAATACTGACTTTAATCTCAGAATACTGACTTTAATCTTAGAATTCTGACCTTTTTTCTCAGAATTCTGGCTTTAATATTAGAATACTGACTTTAATCTCAGAATTCTGACTTTTTTCTAAAAATGTCTGACTTTAATCTCAGAATTCTGACTTTTTTTCTCAAAAATTTCTGACTTTAATCTCAGAATTCTGACTCCCCCCCCCACCACCCCCATATTGAACTGAAATAAAATGTAAAAATCAGTTAACTTATGTGTTTATTTTTTCAGTGGCCCTAATCCTCCTCCATATTATTGTGTAATTAGGAATAAGAAATAAAACAAATCCCAAATCCTTAATGTTTTATTGGTTTGTTTTATATTGTTGCTATTGTTCTGTGTGATACTTGTGATTATATTTCAATGCAACTTGAGAGTGACTGCAATGATTTGGTTCTGCTTCACAATATTAGCAAAGTTCCTCTTAAATGGTTAAAAAAAACGGTCAATATATTATTATTGACACTGGCCTTATCAGGATCATATCTGCTTCACATCATAAGGAGAAAATATCTTAAAAGGATTACAATATGTATCACATATAATAATATGTGTTTTAAAGCATATTTATATATAAAGCTATTGTAATAAAATATCTTATAATAAAGTGTAATTAAGTAGATCTTGCACCCTTTGTCTTTCACAATTTTTGCTTCCAATCAACTCTCTGTAAGATTTAATGAGGTACACTGTTAACAGCAAGTGTCTTCTCCTCCTTGCAAGGCATCAAATAAATATACAGCCATGCACACACACACACACACATATACACAATCACGTTTCTTTATCCATGTGGGGATTTTTCCATTGACTTCCATTCATTTCTAACCCATTTCTACAGCCTGACCGCAACACTTACCCTAAACCTAACCATTATGGGTTACCTAAGCCTACCCCCAAATTAAATTCACTTCACACTTTAATCCTTAACCTAACATCTAAAACCTTAAAACAGCATGTGTACTCATGGGGGCCAGGCATTGGTCCCTACAAGAGCAGTTGTTCCCCACATTGGGCTATGATTTATAAAAAATATTCCCAACAATGTAGTGGGAATAGAGCTTGGAATCCTGAGGTTGTGAGTTTGAAAGCCACACCCACAGCCTGCACTCTGGGTCCCTCAGCAAGACCCTTAACCCCACACCGCTCCCCAGGCGCTGCACAATGAAAGCCAGCTGCTCCCCAAGGAGATGTGTTAAATGCAGAGTGAGTTTCATTGCGCTGTACTTGTGACAGTGTAATGACAATGAAATGCTTGGGAAAAAAAAGAAAAAAACAAAACAAAAACACACACATGTTAGCGATGCTAATTGAACTGAGAGTCATGTTGTCGCAACAATCAGAGAGAATCCGCACATGTATGGGGAGAAGATGCAAACTCCGTGCAGAAAGGCCCCAGGTTGAGAATTATCCAACGACCTCCTGCAAGAGTAACAGTGCTGAATGTAGGTCCTGAACTTAAAGCTTAAACTCTAGGTCTATTTTCATGAGCAGTAACCCTCTTCTTTTAATTGCTTGGCACAAGCGCCCTTGATTTATTTCCAGACAGACACCGAAGGGTTTGGAGCTGGAGGAGGAGATATGGAGATTGGGTCATCTACTGTACCTTACCTCTGCCCACAGTGACTCTGTAATTGTTTTAATTGTCTCTTGGAAGACATTTTCTATGATTGCATTTTACGCATTGCAGATGTCCAATAATGTTTGCATGTTGTTTTTAAACTTTTTAAGACCCCCGTTGTAGATCTGTTCCTGCATTTTGAATAGCTGTTCTGTGATTTATCCAGTTTTTAGCTGAGCTTCAGCTGATTGACCAATGCTCTCACTCTGACTCTATAATACTTTGTCTTACAGAAAGGACAAAACTTTTGTCTTTTGATTTTCTTTTGCCGTATTTTATCTTTTTTTTATATCAAACATCCATATTGCTTATTGAATAAAGATCATATGTTTGTATACCATATCTCTAACACAATTTATTTAATCAAATAACACTATATGATAAAATTAAAGATTTATAAATGTTTACATTTTTATAGCAATGATAACAACAAACTAATTGGAGAGAATATATCCTGCATGATTTGACTTGCATCTGAATAAACCAAATGATTTTAGGCACACTATGTTTGGAGAAAACCATTCAACTGTTATGATTGGCTTATAGGACTAAACCCACATGCAGAACACCTCTGGAGACGGAGTAAAAGTTATTATTTATTGGGGAAAACACACAGAGAAAAAATGGACTGGTTCTGGTACAGGTCCGGGACTGGGATCACTGATATCTGGAGAAATGGAGAGTTTGATTAGCCAGGCAGTTAGATGGTTTGACGAGTGAGTAATTTCTGAATGTACCTTGAAGAGGTTCTGACAGATCCTTGAGATGGGGAACCTGTTGGGTCCAGAGAATGTGGAAGTAGCAGAGAACTCAGCAGCAGCAGCGTCTAGCTTCTGGCTAGAGAGTCTCAGACTTGGGTTTAGTTTTCCTAGCTCTTCCCTGAGAGCTGAAGGAGGAATCCAGACTGAGATCTTCAGGTTTAGCTTCCCAGCTCTTCCCTGAGAGCTGAAGGAGGAATCCAGACTGAGATCTTCAGGTTTAGCTTCCCAGCTCTTCCCTGAGAGCTGAAGGAGGAATCCAGACTGAGATCTTCAGGTTTAGCTTCCCAGCTCTTCCCTGAGAGCTGAAGGAGGAATCCAGACTGAGATCTTCAGGTTTAGCTTCCTTGGGCAGGCAGGCAGGTTTCCAGGTAAAGCTCACCCAGAGCTTCAGACTTCAATCAGGCTTTCTGTGAGTAAAGAAGACAGAGGCAGGTTAGAATCCAGTTTCTCTCTAGAGTCTACTGTGATTCACTATATTAACAGAGGCTTAGGTTTGCTAACCAAACTTGGTCAACACTGCGGCGTCGAAGGAAGGTCTGACTGCTGCTTATGTAGGAAGGTCTCCTGATGGGTTGATGAGCTTCAGGTGTGCTAGAGGCTCCAGCCCAGGAGACCCACAGCGCTCTCTGCTGGAGACCGATGGTAGATCTCCAGATCCCAACAGTAACCCCAGTTCCTGACAGAAAACATATAACAGAAGAGGATCCTCGGCGCCCTCTGGTCGGCAAGCCTCAGGATCCCAACATCAACTGATACCAGCTGTCAAGCACAGAGATGTAAAGGTGATAATTTGTGATATTTTCTGCAGCCACAAGTGGAATCCTGGGAGTCCTTTAGTCATTGCGTTAACCCTAAAGTCCTCTGTGTAATGAGCGTGGTCAGGTCAGTTGTTCTGATACATATGTTAGAAAGCATAGTTCCAGTAATACACAATTACTAAAAATCTTGAAGATCAGGTAAATTAAGAATACTATATACTAAAAGACATATCTTGTTGTTAAAGAGAAGGTTTAGTTTTGCGTAATGGATATATATCTGAAATCTTGTATATAGAGAATTCTTTTAATATCTACAATTATACATATATATACAATGTATGATAGACTTATAAGTAATGCATATAATGCATTGTTTACATATCTTGTAGTGCAAATTGAATGTTTACTGTTAAGTATGACTATAAAACATGTTTATTTGATATATATTGATACATAGAGAATGTCGATTATTAGTGTTGTTAGTGATTATTAACATTTTGTAATGCATTTGTTTATGCGATTGTCATACTCTGTATAATGGGAGAGGTGTGTTGGGTTGGAGATAGTGTGTTTGGTGGCTGTCTTTGTCTTTGCTTTTGTCTCTGTCTTTCTTTGCTTTGTGCTTTGGGCATTGTTTACACATCCTGTATTGTTGTGCCTGAGGGGCTGGGACTTGGATAAGCGGTGCTTTTTCCATCCCATTTTCAGCTTTCAAGGAGGTATAAGGATTTAATTTATTTGTTTGGTTGTTATGAATGTGAGTTGAGTTTTACCACAAGCCCTTTCCTTTATTTCATGCAAGTCTGAAATTCATATATAAATTAAAAAATAAAGAAATATTATTCTCATTCTCAATAAACAAATATTAGAATTTTAGACCTATGAACTGTGTTAAAAGACATGCATTTATTGTAGGCTGCTGATGGTTTGCCCAAATCAGTGAGAGTCAGTGAGTCAGAGTCAAGTAAACAAACATGTGTCTGGTGGCTGAAACACAACGGAGGATCTTTAATGAAAGGGCTGAAAAATGGAATTTAATTAAAAAAAAGAATTCTAGATTGGAACCTTCAGGGAGATGTAAGGAAACCTATTTCTGCAAACCTCAGTCATTTTATATGATATATAAAAAAATATGCCATAAAGTCTCTATATTTGAAAAACACAGAGTGTGATTCATGTGTTTCATAATTTTTGTACTCCAACTTTTTCTCCTGCTGACGTGTCCTAATGACGCTGACGGAGGTGAAGGTGTGAGGGAAAATATATTTTTACCAAGAATGAGGAGGGTGGTAAAAGTGAGACTTCCGGTTGGCAGCAACGCATAGCCTTCAAACTAAAAGTCTAAAAAAAATGCAGTTAAAATTGTTTGTTCTTTTTCCTTTTTATGTCACTTTTAATGAAACTCTTCATATTTCTGTAAGATTTATTTAGGTAAACTAAAGTAAATTATATTCTCTCTTTTCAACTTACATTATTCTTTTTGCATAAGAATAAGCACGGTTAAAATTCTTAACATGGTGTGTTGATAATAATTTGTAGAGTAATTGTAATTGTAAGTAAAAAAATAATCAAATGATTTTTTTAAACACATTTTGAAATGATTTTATTAAGATTTTAATATTATTTATATTTATAAAAGTATTATTTCTTTATGATAATAATTGCTTTTAATACCTATTTCGTCCTATTCTATTTGTTATGTCGTTAAGGCTTTTATTTTGGAAACAAACCCAAAGAATTTCAGCAGTCTTGATTCTTTCTTCTGTATGGCAGCCGAGCAGAGGAAGGAGGTGATGGAGCAGGGAGTAGGAGGAGGAAGAGGAGGGTTGGAGTGAAGCGACCAGTGGCAGGTCTGACGGTGATGGTGATGATGATGGGGATGTGAGTCAGACGGCTGAGGATTCGGGATGCTCACAGACGCTCCAGACTAAGCGAGCCCTCCACACACATCCAACCCGCAGATAATCTCAGAGGATCCGGCGGTGACACGCACGGTGAGTTCCGCAAACATCACACCCGCACCGCAGGACACGCACCAGAAAAACCCATCCATCATCCCCTGGCAGGTGGACTGACAGCAGCCGGGGACGGAGCTCCACACGTTGGGTTTTAAACACCGGCTTGTTGCTAATTTGGTTTTTTTGTGCTCGTCTTTGGGAGCGCGTGCGTGTTTATATAATAGCAGTAGGTGCACGTGTCCAGCTGTGCGCGTGCAAGAGCCATCCTTACTATAGAGCGCAGTCACAGAGATTAACATGATGTAAGGAGATAATGAGCCTGTGGAGCTGCAGCTGATTGAAACAGAGAACAAAGCAGCCTGTCAGTGTGCGCGCATGCGTGCGTGAGGGTGTGTGTTTGTGTGTGTGAAGGCAGTGACATTTTTAAAACCGTGGAATACCAGCAGTTTCCTGTAAATGTCCCTGTTAAAAGCGGAGAACAGGAAATGAAAATGTGCTATATTTGCAATGCTTAAAATGTTCTGTCAATTACACTGTTCTAATGACATCAATATGGAAGCAGGAGGCAGAAAACAAAACTATGAAAAAGCACAAAAAATTCTCTTTTAAACTTTTACATATCATTTATACACACACAAAAAAAAAAAAGCAAGAAAAACACCCATCTGGCCTAAAATCCTTTCTGTTGAAAGACAATAAAGCCTTTTAAATTCTCAGCAGCTGCTGATTTTCCCCACCTGCAAATTTCTATTGAGGGTGAAGTAGGAGTAAAGGCTTCTAATATGTTGCAGGCATCAGAGATCAAAACCTCCAAGTCAACCCAAGATCCATCTATCCTGTATTTTCCTTATATGCAATCTGGTTAGTTTTATCACAAGTCCAAAAGGAAGACCTTCTGGTGACACTAAGTCTTTCATTATAAACCTAGCGCGTTCTCAAGGCTAGAAAGAACATACATTTCTCCGAGTTCTGGATACTCCAAAGTCTCTTCCCAAACATCCTTGGAATGTTTCCAGGACGCATCATAATGCGATGCCTGAAGCACGTCCGTTGACTACCTTTGTTGGGGAGAGGCATCAGCATCTCTACTCTGCTACAACCTCCTTGATGAGGGACCTTCTCATCTTATTTCTAAAACTGAGCCCTGCCATCGCTGTAAGTCTCTACAAATAGAGAACCTACCTTTTTTGACTCAGCTCTTTCAACACTTCAACAGACTGGAGGAGAAGGCTAATTACTGCAGATGAAACCCAAATGTATCTGGACATCCCAACCAAGGTGCCAATATGCTTGAGCAACACTTCATGGAGGGAGTTGTCTACCTTTTTTTACAGTCCAGAATATGGTCCAATATGTATGATAGGGCCAGCATGTCAAGCTAAAAAGAATACCTTCAGGGTCTGGGTGCTGCTTTACACCTGACTGTAAATCTGGAAAGCCCATTAAACCTCAGACTGGTATCTCCACACCCCATTCCATGGAAATCTTTAGGGGACATGTTCATAAATTACCTCAAGATCCACAACACCCACATGGACTGGACATTTAAACCTTAATGGCATCTGTGTGCAAATCCATAAGAGTAAAGAACTGGGCCAATATGTATGATGAGCTGGAAAATCAATTGGAGAAGAATACCTTTAGGGTCTGGAGGCAGCTTTATTGAACCTTAGCAATTGGAAAAACAGAGCCAACCAGTGAGTCCCAACATGCTGCAGGGTAGGATGTAAAAAGTGACAAAGCAGGTTGGAGGAGGGGGTTTGATTTACAGCATCTGCAAACATTTGGACATAGGTACCACCATCTGATCTGATACTGGACTCAATGGTGAACAGTTACATGGTCACTGGATACTTTTAGATACCACTTATACCAGATACCACTATATAAAGGATACCCTTTATATATCACTTTATAATAGTATTACAGTTTTCTTGCTTTTAGAGCGTATTTGATCGTTAAAATATATACATCTAAAAAGGGCGATAGTGGCATTGGATGCAGGGGTTTGTCCTTTCTCTGTTGCTGTGTCCTTGGCCAAGACACCCCACTCGCTTTGCCCGCTGATGATGGTCAGAGGGCCCGGTTGCGCGTGTTTGCGGCAGCTTTGCTTCTGTCAGTGTGCCCCAGGGCAGCTGTGGCCACAATGTAGTTTGCCATCGTCAAAGTCAATTGAATTACTCTTTCTATATATATATATATATATATATTTAGAGTACATATATATATATAAGTACAGGTCATTTACCATTTATAAACCAAAATGTACTTAACCACATAGCAGGGAATAAAAACATTAAATATGTAAATTGTTGTAATAATGGGGAGGCACCCTACTGTATGTGCAGTTTTCATTAGTTTCATTAGTTTTCATTAAATGGTTGTTTGTAGTTTGAAGAGTGTTCTTTGTTTACTTGATTATCTAGATTTTTTTGCCAATCTTTCAAATGCACACACACACACAAAAAAACAACTTCACACCGAAAAGTTTGGAGGTTACCTGAACTTAAGGTCTGTGGACTTAATACCTAAACCTAAATAAATGCCTGTAGTTTATCCTCTCCCCTGAGGGCTAACCCTAATCCTAACAAATGGAGAAACCCAAACATAAGGTAAGGGGATTAAATATGATTTTATTAAATTCCTATTGGACTGACTTCCGGGTTGCATTTCCAGTACAGTTCGTAAGAATGGCTGCACCCTGCTCTTGTAATACAGTACTCTTTTAGTAATGTGGTAGAACCAGAAGTACAACAACACTGCCTGGTGGAACTTTGGACTGTTTTCTCCAGAATTTCAAGGTTTTTAATAAACATTTAATCTGATGTCTGTGAAGATTTTCTTTTCAGAGAGGGAAAGGTTTAAAAAATGAATCAGCTAGAACTATTATCTCACCTTGGCTGACATTAAAGAGCTAAAATAAACCTCCAAACTGCATCATTTCAAAACACTACACACAAAAAGGGATGGAAGCTTCCACTTTCTGAGGGTGTGAACTATCTACTGCTTGTTTCCTGTTTCATGGTAGAGAGCTGGGATATTACATAACTTGTGCTAATTACTTGTACTAAAAATAAGCTGTGAATAAATTTCTTGTTAGATTGTTTTGATGAACTGAATATTATTTTTATTGTTTTTTAAACATTCATTTAAGTAAGAAATTTTGATAATGACATCAATTTGTAAGTCTAAGGTTTGAAATACACCATCCAAGTTCATAAAAGAATAGACTATACATACACCTAACTTTCAGATGAATAAAATCAAAATGACCATATTTTCTTTTCAGACAGTTTCTGTTGATAATTTTTTTTTTTTTAGAATAGAAACCCACATTCAACCAGAACTTTAGTGATGATTTTCCCCTGCATTCAATAATCAGAGGCAATGAGCCGTTTATTTGATTGGTTGAGGTTTTGTAGCACAAGGCGCTCTAGTAAATGGAACATTGAAAGGATAAAAAAATGTAAAAATTTAAATCTGGACTTGTCAGGTTAAGAAGCTGTGGAATGATCTGGAATTGGCTGTTCATCAGAAATCGTTAATGATGAATGAGATCATTTCTGCAACTTCTACATTTTTCTTAGGTTGTCTTCGTTGTAAGGTTGATGATCAAAAACATTTAATATGACAAGAAAATTGCAACCAGAAGAAATTTGTGAAGGGGGAATCATTCTTACCGTTTGTCGTTTTTGACAAAATCTTATAAGGTTGGATAAATGGATGAATTTGACTATGTGTTGATGGTGCAGACAAATTTGATACATATACAGAATACAGGATCTACAGTTGTATACAATATAAAACAAACAATATGCTATATACTATATATAGTATATAGCTATGTACCATAGCCATAGCTATGTATAGCTACATAAGAGACACTGAAAGGGCAGAGCTAATTGTTCGGATGCGCTGGGGTTTAGCAGGTGCATGGTCGACAGTGGCTGCTAGCATGGCCAAGCTTGGCCATGCCTTATTGAGTCATGCAAAGTGACCAGAGGGATGCTAATAGATATGCCATGGACAGATCTTTAGATGTGGACAATTCCTTCCCCTGCTTCACTTTGTTACGATGCCCACCCGCGGGGGCTACCGGGCAATCCACATTGGCTTCTTGTCAGCTTACTTTACACAACAATAAACTAGGGATGCACGATATAATCGGCCCCCTATCGGTATCAGCCTGTATCGGCCTTAAAACCGAATATCGGAGTTTCTAAAGTCTAAAAAAAAAAATACTACTTCTTCTTCCTCAAAAACTTCTTTTTTACAGACTTAAAAACTTCTAAAGACGAGGGAAAAAATATTGATACATTAAAATATCACAATATCTTCATATGCTGATATATTGCCATTTAAAAACACCATATCAATCTCTTTACTAATTAAATATTGCTATATGTCATCGTTATGCTACGAAATCCCCCGAAAATTCACGAAATTTTGCCATATTTTTATATGTTGATATATTGACGCGGTATCGATCTATTTTACTAACAAAATCTCACAATAATTTGCAAAATATCACGAGAGTTTGTAACAGAACGATGAAATTTCACGAGATTTTAAAAAGTAAAATAGATCGATACCGCATTTTTAAAAATCAATTTGACATCAGCATATGAAAATATATTTGAGTATATTATTTTTCAAATTGTCAGTAATGGATAACAAAACTGCGATTTTCAATGACTACTTATTTTTGTCCAGTTTTAACATCGGTATCGATATCGGTTATCGGCTACATGAGTTTTAAAATATCGGCATATCGGATATCGGCCAAAATCCCAATATCGTGCATCCCTACAATAAACACATAAACTGATTGAAAGTCATCAAACCCCAACATTTTTAAACTCTTAATGCTTTCCCTAATATTGCCAGACCAACAACATCTGTTGATGTCCGTTTTAGAATGCTGAGGCATCTCCAGTGTCTAGCAGCTTAGCAGGTCAGGCCTGCAGCAGGGAAACTATTGGTCTTTCCTTTCAGATACTCCACACGTCCAGTCTCTGGTACAGTTATAGTGTCCTATAAAATTAGAGAGACATGTTGCAGAATGTCTGATTTAGCAAGAATTAGTTCAGAGAGGTCTACGTACCCTTTGAGCGGTCTGTAGATTATGGTCCTTGGCTTGTATGCCCTTCATCGATGAGGTCTCTCTACAAAGTTAGCATCTACTGGAGGGAGATTTATGCCAAAGAGAATTGCATGTACCTGTTTAAGTGTCTTTTGATGATTTTGTGAGAGGAGGATCTGAAGCAATTTGAAAAGGAGACAAAACATTTTTTCTCCATCATTGTTCAAAGTTAACCAGCCTAGACATAGTTTCTCAATGTCCAAAATTAATATCATTGCTTATGTCATAGCAGTGCTGAATTAGCCATGCCCAAAGCTGGTGCTGCTGAGGTGGTGGAGGACAAGAGGACTCACTATGCAGCACTGTTGCCAACTTCTAAATAAGAAGAATCGATATTGGCTTCCTAAAATAGTTGCCGGAATTCAAAAGATAAACCCATCACCCAAATTTGCACATTTTGCTATGCCTTGATCCAGGCTTTAGGAGGAAATATCTGTGTTGGTAAGACAGAAAGTTATTAAAACATTCATTTAAAAGCACAAATGACTTCTATAAAATGTAAAGGATGATACTTTCCCTTAAACTAAACAACATAAACCAATTTTGTTACATTATCCCACATTGTAAGGCAGGGATCTGTGGCTATTTGCACATGTGTCAACGGAAAAACTGAGAGGAGTCGGTCACTTCTCTACTCTGAGAGCTGGCAAAGGGTTTACTCTCATGTTGTTGCCAAAGTCTCCAATAACAGAAAAAGTTGGTAGATTTGTCACCAGTCCTTTTTGTTTCCAGTCACTTTTAGAGGGGTCTAAAAAGTGGCTAAATATAGCAACATATGGGAAAGTTCATAACAGTGTTACGAAGATTGTTGAAGCTTTCAAGTTGTACTTATACATCCAAACACAGGTTAATATGATGTAAACCTGTATCAATGATGTAGGTATGTGCCAGCATGTAACGTTTTAACCAAATCGGAAATTCAACTGCAATAGCCACCGTTAAACCCCTTTAAGCATATTAATATTGGCAGGTTTGGTAGTAATATATATCACTAAAACTGTTACATAAAAAATGGACTGTAACTTTAAAATGTATACTTTTAATTTGAATGGTTTATTTTTTGACCTAGTTTTGTTTGTAAATGAGTGATCTTTTTTTCACTGCTTTATTCCATTGCTGCTTTGAATTTCTGTTATTATGGCCCTAATGTCCTTCTAAATAAACTTTTAATTCCCTCTTTCCTGCTTAAATCAAGTACAAAGGATAGATAAAGAAAATGTTTAATTACATACACAGATCCGTTAAAGCCAAATTGGATCCTATTTAAAGGATATTTCTGAAAGGTTGAAGCATTAAAATAAAGTAAATGTAAGGGTTAATTGGGATGTGCGTCTGTAGCTCCGGTTATGCTGGTTTAGTCGACGGTGTTTTCCCTGCCGCCTGCCTCCGCACAGGAAGTGACGTCACCCAATGTGGGCAGGCAGGTAGCCACGGCAACGGGGCCTGCTGGTGATGAAATGTCTGCGCTGTTCTCAGTGCATAAATCTCTCTGCAGTCCATCTCTGTCGCCTTCAGTGCCTCCTCAGAGGGCAGTAACCACGGCGACGGAGCTACCGTCTCCCTCTCTCTCTCTTACACACACACACACACACCACATTGTAATGCTGCCAGGACTGTAAACACTCAGGATGCTATCAGGGGCAGGTGTGTGTTTTTGTGTCTGCAGGGAATGATCACTGAGCTGCTGATTGGTGTGAGTCTGTGGAGCAGATAAGGAGGTTGGTGACGTCAGCAAGAGAGAATTCAGAGCCTGGCCTGACAGACGGCACCAAAGACTGCTCCCAACTTGACTTTAACCCATAGATTTCACTTAACCCCAAATGTGATTCCATTCTTTCTGTTCACCAACCATAACTTATGGATCTGTTTGTAGAAACATTTCATAGTTATTCAATCTGTCCAGCTCCTCTCCTCTCATCCTCACTGAGAGCCACCTTTGCAGACACTTGCAAAAGTGCTTTTACTTTAACACATACTTTAAGACTTAGCTTGATTTATGTTTGTACTTTATCCTGGCCAATATAACATACGAATTTGCTTTAAACTAAACATGAGGTCTTTAACAAGGGTCCTTGGAATCCCCTGTTCAGATATGGATCTGCTATAACACACCTCAAATTATTTAATTCTCTCCTCGGCTGACACAAGGGGCTGCAGAGGCTGTTTATCACCCTTTTATTCAAGTTCAGTGTGTGGATGTAGGGAACCAATTTAAACCTGCAGAACATTGGGTCCTTGAGAACTAGAATCGAGACCTCTTATCTAAACCATTCCGTTGTAGCTTCGTCTGTATGTTTAAGGCTGTTTGAAGGTTAACCTCCTCCCCAGTCTCAGCTTATTTGCAGCTAATAACAGATTTTGTTTAGGGATTTTTCAGTGTCTAGCTTCATTAATTTTCACATCACCTGTTCCTGGATACCCAAAGCATGACTCTGCCAGCACCAACTTCCCTCTTATAGATGACATGTTAAAGATAAAGATCCTCTTTGCATTTTTCTTTACATAACATACTGCACGTAAAACAAATAAATTGTGTAATTTTTGCAGAACCGCTTCTACAAGTTTACTCTCTCCTGCATGGCTTGTCGTGAAAAAAAAAACCTGCAATTCATTTCAATTCAACTCGGTTTATCCATATAGCGTGAATTCACAACACATGTCATCTCAATAGAGACTATTCAACCAGATTATACAGTCAGATTGATTCAAAGTTTTCTAAGGAAAACCAGCTGATTGCATCGACCCATTGACTCCAAGGCAATCCCTCACACTAAGCAGGCTTGTATTGGAGAGGACAGTGGAGAGGAAAAACTCCCTTTTAACAGGAAGAAACCTCCAGCAGAACCAGGCTCAGTGTGAGCAGCCATCTGCCAAGGCCGACTGGGGTTCAAGGAGACAGAAGCAGACATACAGAAAGAAGCATAGATAAAAACAGGACTTCTGATGGCTTTGACCTTTTTTACAAAAGCCAAATCTATAGAGTGTGTGACTGATAGCTGTTGAAGTATTCCCCCAACTAACCCATCAATCTTTGCAGGATCTCTTTAACCTATCACTGGCCTTCTGATAACGACTTCTAGTCCATATCATGTTACAGTAGGTCTGCATATGTTCCATCCTATCTCCATATGCAACTTATGTAAGGGATATTATTATATTACTGTATACCTATGACCTCACTGCATAAACGATCCAGAAATAAGTACAAAATGTCTTTCATATTTTAAATTAAGTGTATTTACCCTTAATTTGAGCAGGTAATAAAAATGATCTGCCAATGGAATAAGTTGTTTTTACTCTTGAAATAAGATAATTAGATGATATGCACTTCAAATAATACAATTAGATTTTTTTTTCTTATTTTAAGTGTAAATTGTCCAATGGCAAAGTGTCTCACTTACCTCCTAAATTCAAGACAAATTTCTTTTCAGTATTGGCTCTTTATGTTTTGGTCTTCATTACACTGTTTGTTTCCTGGGTGGTCATTGTTCACTCTCTTATTGATTCTGAAGGCAATCAGTTGCTCCAGGCTGTAATTGGAGTTAATCAAATAAGGGAGAGGAGAATAAATAAGCACAAAACAATAAAAAACATAAGACATTTTCCTCTTACGTTCGTGAGATGTTGAATTTAATTTGTGTGCATTAACTCATAATTAATTGCATTGAAGTCTGTTGGATGTGATGTAAAATAAAAAAACTTGTATAACTTTTCCAGGTTATTGTAAAATTTTAAAAAGCCCAGAAATTACGTTTTATGAAAAAAGTATCGAAGAATTACAAAAATATGAAATACCCTTGCTGAATAATCAGTTCTGTGTGTTTATCTTGGTTCTTTAGCATAAAGGTGACTGTTCCAGAGTGACAGGAGGACTTCAGAATGCCTGAGCAGAGTAACGACTACAGGGTGGTGGTGTTTGGAGCTGGTGGGGTTGGGAAGAGTTCGCTCGTTCTTCGATTTGTTAAAGGCACCTTCAGAGACACCTATATCCCCACAGTGGAGGACACCTACAGACAGGTGAGACACACGCAGCACATCTGGTTGTTTGCTCTAAAAATAGCTTAAATAGAACTCTGTCCCCTTGGAGGCAAATGTATAAAGACATGATGGCTCATTTTAAGCTAAACACAATAGTAATATAAACAGCATCACTTCCCTTATGATTAACTTCCTGATAATAAGTTAGGTTTCATTCTGATTGAGTCCACAGGGCTCAAAAAAATTGAAGATCTGCAAAAACCTAATGTGACAAAGAGATGGTGTATATTTCAAAAGGGACAACACGCTGTAAAGAACATGTCAGTATTGTTTATTTAGTGCCATAGTGCCTTAGGCTACCACATAAAATACTATAAATATAAATGCATAGAAATTTGCAAGATACTACAAGCACAAAATTAACATTTTAAAACCAGATTATACAAAACATACTAGGTAGCATACTGAAAAATACTAAAAATGTCATAAAACACAGTAAGAACAGTTTATTGAAATACAGTGAAATACAATACGTTACAAAGCAGATATAAGAATCCCATAATAAGTGGCTGTACAACTGAATATCCTGGAGTCATGAATTAAAGCCACTGGAGAATGATTTGAAAGACAAATACTGTATGTTCTTATGATTTCTGGTATTTCCATCCAGTCATGAGAGGCTTTCGCTGAAAATTAGTTCTGACATAATGTACTTGATCTAAGAGATTTTCAGGACCAGACAGAGTTTTGAATCATGATCATTTTTACCCAACTACACAGATGATGTTTGGTTAGAATATTGCAGTACTTATATCATACATGTTTTTTTTTTTTACTTACTCAAGATCTTTATCATTTGTTTGTGCAATATCTCTATCGACTTCAGGGTCTATGAGTTAGCTGAGTACGTTTTAATGCTTGACCTAAATGAAACAGATTTCTGTCACCTCTGCAGGTGATAAGCTGTGACAAGAGCGTCTGCACGCTGCAGATCACAGACACCACAGGAAGTCACCAGTTCCCCGCCATGCAGCGACTGTCAATCTCCAAAGGCCACGCCTTCATCCTGGTCTTCTCCATCACCAGTCGCCAGTCCCTGGAGGAGCTCAAACCCATCTACCAACAGGTCTGAGATACGAGTTTATTCTGCAAGTACAGTCAGCACATTTTAAAGGGATTTAGTTGTCAAGGAAAATCTTTTCAGCAAGATTTAATTAACCATATTATGATGTTTTCTTAGTGACCTCCACAACAATTGCCATGAGTCCCAGATTATAACAAAAGCATAATTAATTAATTCACCAGATTGCATTCTTAGAATAAAATAAAATTATATTTTCATCCTTTATTCAGACTTGTTAATATTTGCATATTTGATTCTACTTTCTCCAAATCATTGAAATAGTTAAAAATATAAATTGCACAGATTTGGTGATTTGGAAACTCTTTTTCTTGTTATTAATTAAAAAATCTTTTTTACAAAAACATCAAGAGTAATGGTAGAAGATGCCTTAATGAATAATCAGGGGTCAGCAGATTCCTACAACCAGTTTTAATAGTTTTTCAATTTCTTTCCCTAAGAGATTTTTTTTTTTTTTTATCGATAAAATGTAACATTAAAGATTAGAAATACTTTCAATAAGGTTTTTAGATCAAAAAAAGTTTTCACTTACAGATTAACTATGTCTATACCAACTGTAATATAATTTATGAAGCATATCACAGATTCATCTGAGAGCAGCAACAGTTTCAGAGAACAGATAACAAAGAAAACCACAAAGTTTGAAGTTTGTGTTTGATTATCCCTGTTATACTCTCTCTGCAGATTCTGGCAATCAAAGGGAGCGTGGATTCTATTCCTATCATGCTCGTGGGCAACAAAAGCGATGAAACAGCCCAGCGCGAGGTGGAGACGAAGGTGGGTGAGGCTCAGGCCACATCCTGGAAGTGTGCCTTCATGGAGACGTCGGCGAAGACAAACACCAACGTCAAAGAACTCTTCCAAGAGCTGCTGGCGCTGGAGAAGAAGCGGGACATGAGCCTGAGCATTGACGGGAAACGCTCAGGGAAACAGAAACGAGCCGACAAGCTGAAGGGAAAGTGCAGCGTCATGTAGAGCAAGAGAGCAGCAGTGGATGCAGAGGACTCGCTGTGGATAGATCTACAGATTAGGCAGTCCACATTACATGTTCCTGAACCAGGAAGCCCAGATAAACAAAATGCCTGTAACCTACTGAGGCAGTACAACCTGGAACTTTTACACCAGGCCAGAACTTGACTGTATTTGTGGTCTGTACATATTCCTGTAAAGCCTGATTAGCTCCACTGTAAACAACAACTGTAAATAACCTTGAGACTAATTTTATTTTGAAATCTGGACTTTAAAATCTCGTAACACTAGAGTTTCGATGGTTTCTAAATTGTGCTGGACCTGGAAATACTTTAGGATGATTTAATTTGGTGTTTGTCCTTCCTTCTGATAGTAATGATTTGGTAGATCGGATATAAAGCATGCACTATTATCAAGGCTTAAACTGCACTCTGGGCTGAAAGCTGCTTCTAAGTCATTACTGACCGTAACTCATTTGTATGCTTTTATCTCTTCTCTGGTGGCTTGCAGCACTGGAAGAAAAAGGGAGTTCAGATGCAACACAGAAACTCTTTCTGGGGAAAACTCAGCACCATAAACGGGACCAGATGTTTAAAGTTGGGTCTCTAGTTTGGAACACCAAAGGCCACAATAGAACATTTATAACCTGTTTTTTCATTCCTGGGAAAATGGAAAAAGTAGTTTATTTACAGTAGGGTTGGTCATCATTTCAATTTAAATTATTCCGATTCCTTGTTTTGATTCCAGTTCCTATCGATTCTGGATTCTTAGTCCTTAGAAGAAGAGTCATAAAGGTTTACATGTTATAGATTAGTAACCTACGGTAACTAAATGGAATGAAATGGTATGAACTTCTCAATGAAATTTAATGATTGAACATCTAACTTAGTTATTTTCAGCCAATATAAAAATATCAGACCTATAAACTATAAAATAAATCTTCCCAATTTAACTTAGTTAAATTATCACATGGAGCTTTATTGTTGAAAACATCAATCTACTCAACTGGATGAGGAAGTAGTGATGTTTTACACAGGAAGGATCAAATTTCACACTCCATCATTAAGTTAGGGGGATTTGTTATATAAAAGAGATTCCAAATAAACTAAAATAAGCAATCAAATTTATGATTTAAATCATTTAGAAGATTGGCAGCTCTAGATTAAAGGGGTTTTCATTATTTTGAGAATAAGTATGAAACAAAGCGGGTATGTTTTTTAAGATTTAATGTAAAGTATAAAATAGGATCCACTCTCTCCCTGCAGAAGATACGCCATAAATTAAGAGGAGGAACAAATTCTGCCAGGGACCTTACTTTAAAAACCTGTCGCAGCAAGTCAATGGCGAGTATGGCTGTGTTTAATCGTGTCAGTTGTGCGCCCTTCTTTGGATAATATAATCCCATCGCCCCTGTCACACATAGCCGACTGGTCATTTCTTTAAACCACAGTTTCGAATGCTGCTACACAAACAGGTGAATGTACATGCACTGCACACACTTCTTTGCTGATATTAGCCTGCTTTTATTTCCAGGCGGTGGACTGGGCATCAAAACTGGGAATCGAAAAAGAGAAAAAAGAAAATTTTAATGATTCAGGGAGAATTGAAATGTTAAAACTTGTACTGTTCTCATGTCTCAGCCCAAATCTAATTTTAGGAAACACCTGCTGATTCATTGTTGATGCTTCTGATGTTCTCTCAGGTGGAAGACGGACATTCTTCTACTTTAGCCATGTCTCTGTTCCTCACACCTAACAATAAAAACCTACTGTCCTCTTCTGCATGAATTTGCACTCTGCAAAGCCTTGCTAATGAAGTAAATGTTTGATTTTGGTGTGCAAAAACAAAGATGCATTTCAAAGTTTAGAACATTTTGGATTCCCCCCTTTTTATGTATGAAGTCATATGTTATTAAATTCTACCAGATTTTTGTTAAAAATTAAACAAAGTGCATTAAATAGCTGCTACTTAGTTTTTTGATGTTTACAGACTACAGAAAAAGTTAAGTTCGTTTTTTTTTATGTGCTGGTGAAGATTCTCAGTTATCCAGGTCTGAGACGTTCCGGAGAGTTGAAAAGCAATCCACTGGACTTTTTTTTCCAAGTTTGAAGACGTTTAGCTTTTTCCCAAATAGTGTTAAATCTGAGGCTTTATAGAGCAGCCTTGTTTTTGTTTAAAGCCTTATTTTTCTAAACAAAAAGGCTTTGTTGGGCCACTCTATAAAGCCTCAAATTCAACACTATGTCTGGCAATTTGAATTGAAAAAGCTTCCTGGATGAGAAGCAAACGTCTTCAAATTCGGAGACAAAGTCCAGTGGATTGCTTTTTTAAACTTTTTTGGAATCTTTTTTTCTTTATGGTTTCAATAAAGTAAAACCTTTTCTGTATCTGACGTACTCATCATTACGATTCATTTGATCAAGGAGATGTTATAAATGCTTGTTGATGCAATCTATATTCATGATTTCCCCTCCTAAATTTCATTTTGTTTTCCAGAAGGACAGAATGAGATATTAACTTTGTGCTTCAGAGGGAATTTGGAAATATGCTGTTTGATGCAGAATGAACCGATTGCCATGTTGGTTCTGTTAAGTGAAAACATTAAAAAGGTAATTCAATAAGGAATGGTGCAGTTTGAATTCGTTCACAGTAGTAGTGTTACATTTATGGAAGGATGTTTCAAACCAAAGCTGAATTGTAGTTTTAGCAGTGTGTTATTTAAGCATCTGAGTGTCAAACATCAAGCCTGACCGAGGCTCAGTTATGCTTGACTCATGTGTTTTATTTTAAGGCTGTAGTTCAGGTTTTGGCTTACATCATCCATGCACATGTCATCCTAAAGTGTCACGTTTTAACCTGAGTGATACCTTTTAGACTTAGACTAATTTTATTGTCATCTTATACACAGAATGTATACAAACAAACAAAATTTTGATGCATACAGCTTTTTAACAGTGAGTCAGCTTAGCAGAGAGATGAACATTTCCATGTCTAAAGTGGAGCAGTGATCAGAATGTAAACAGTGTAGGAGAAAAGGAAAACCATTTTAAAGTCATGGTGCAAAAGGCATTATATGGAAATGTTCAGTGCAGTGCAAAAAAATAAATAAGGTGCAAAATGTAGTTGAACATTGAGCTGTGTCCTATTTAGAGGGATTATAAAGAAATTTGCCACATTGGTAGTGTTGGTAGTGTGCTGGGGAAGATTCTCAGTCATCTAGGTCATTGTCATTCCAAAAAAGATAAAGCCAAAACAAGACTTGTTTAGGCTACTCTATAAAGCTTGGAACCCAACGATATTTCTGACATTTTGAAATGAAAAAGCTTCCTGGATGGGAACCAAAGCCTCTTCAAATTTCCAAATTTTTTGAATCACATTCGTAGTGGAAATATGAGGTTTTCAAGTGTGATGCAGAGTCTTAATTAGAGTTTCAACAGTTCAATTGTCTGATGGCATTGGGTAAAAAGCTGTTGCAGAATCTGCTGGGCCTGCAACGACTGCTGAGAAGCCTCTTCCCAGAGGGCAGCAGGGAGAACAGTCCATGGTGGGGGTGTGAGGGGTTGCTTTCAGTGGTTGGAAAGAATAATTGTAATCACATAGGTCACTAATGGGGTATAAAACCTAAATGCTGTGATGTTCTCCACAAATCCTAGTCTAAAATATATTACTAAGTTTCAGTTTATCCAATCTTTTTTATCTTGAGTGGAAACAAATATTCTAGAATGAGTCATCCACAACTGGACTGTTCTTTAAACAACAGAACAATGTATTGTGTAATCAATAGCTGTCCTTCACTTCCACAGCCTTTGCTACCGCTTTACAGATTTTCTATTTTATCTAATATAAAAACTTATTGAAGCACAAATAAAAGGATACTCTTGATCTTGGACAACTCTTCAGGCAAACATATGTATCCATACTGTCTACATCATATTGTGTTTGAAGTATTCTGCCTTTAGCCATATTAAAAATGGCCTCCATTTAAGAAGCGGGAACTATGAGTTTCAATTTCTTTTCAGTCCTATCAGAAGTTTTGTTGCCAATTTTAATATTAACTCTAAATTTCTTTATAAACACACAGACATTCACTAATTAAGAATGTGATGTGTTTACTGGAATCCAACTGGGTTGAAGACTCTGTAAAGCAATCATCGTGTTGAAAATAGACTGATACAGCTGATCACGTAATTTTTATCTGTATGTTATGGCCATAAAAATTATCCAGGAGCAATACGGAACATTATTAAATTTAAATCAGTTCTGAATATAGAAAGCTTCTCAGTCCACCTTTGCACCAAGAAACAGACCAATACATAATTTTGCTGCCATCTTGTGGATAAAACATCACATTACAGCTTTCCTTTGATCTGTCAAAGAAACAGACCATCACTGACTTCCAAAAAATCCTGGAAAGTGGACCTTATCAATAGCTCTCCAGGGTTTCTATAACTTTTCTGCTGATGTAGTTAAAGTTCTGATTTTAATTCAGTTTATCTTTAATATTGAATTATTCTCAGTACTGACATCTGCTATTTTTCCACCCTTGAAATAAATGTTATTGCAATATTTGAATATATAAGAGGAGACCACAAACTATTTTCTTTTCACTATTGTTTTTTCTTACTGTTTATTAGGGCTTATGTGTAATGTTTTTTCCCTTTTTTTCAACCTTTTTTCACATCAATTTTTTTTCTACAAAACAGTCTTTATTGTTAACATTATTCATAGTTAAATGTTTGACAAATGGTATTGTATATTTATGGTTAACAATAGTGTATTTTTCCCACTATTTTCTTTTGAACAATTATTTGCTTCACAAATCATTGGACTGTATAATGTTAGAATTGCACAGATTGTTTTTAATGGTCTGATCTCTTTTACTTAAGATGCATATCATCATTTTAATTAGAGTGATAGGTTTGGATTACAGTGAAACATGGGAATTTAAAGTTATCTTGTTTACCTTCTTCCAATTTGGCATTTTTTCCAGTAAAACTGAAAACGAAACAGATCTCAACTAAAAGCTTTTTTCTGTCTGAGCGAATTACGAAAAAAATAAAAATAAAAAAAATAAAAAAAACAGACATAAAAACACCCTTTTAAAGTTGAAGTTTTATAACCTTTTTTATTTTGATTGATTTAATAATTTTTTAATTAATTATTTCTGGGTTTGTGAAGTATGTTTGACACCCTCAGAGGACCAAACAGGAAATGCGTGTTTGGGGCAGAACAGGATAGGAAATAATGCAAAACGGCATCCATAAATCCATAAATGCTAATCCTAAACAATAAACAATACATCAACATTTATATGTTTTTTACAGATACTTCATTCAGTAATAACCAACTTGCAGTTTGTTTAATTCCCATGATAAAGGGAGATTAAATCTCCTTTCAATTTTACAGTTTTAACTGTTTTCTTACATATCTTATGTTTTTAGGGTAAACAGATTTTTTACACTCGATCTAGATCTAAATAATTGTGGAACCTGTTAAAGATTGCATTATTATTAATTGCTTTGAGAGAAAACCAGTTTCCTAGTCTTGGAGATCATGGAAATAAAACCATGAAGCGATCAGCAGACAGGTGGCAGTTTAGCAGTGGAACCATGTGTTCAAAGAACAGAAGACAATCTATGAAAAAAGATCACAATAAAATGTGTCTCTGTTCAGGTGAATTAGGTCAGAATAAACATGGGACATCACCTGCATGGTCACAAAACACACGGCTGGACACAAACTGTGCCCAGGGGACGCTGACGTGAAAGTGACGGATCCATCCTGCAGAGATGATGCAACACCTGCAGGTAGATAACAGGGTCTGCAAGCATGAGTGGGTGTGATTCATGTTTGTCCTTGTTTGTGTTCAGATGGTTGTCCAGGACACTGAACTCAAACAAATCCTGGACAAAACAGAGAGACGGTGTACATGATCAACAGACTGAGTCACACAGAAGAGAGAGAGGTTAACTCAGAGCAAACCCCAGCAGCAGGTAGGTTTCCAGAGGTAACAATACTTGAGAACTCTGACTTTCCATTATTTGGTATCCTAATTTCAAGACCCCTCCAGAGCCCAACAAAGAAGTTTGAGCAGGTTTTGACAATGCAACAAATGCCTAAATTGTCTGTTTTTTTTTTTTGTAAGTTGCTGTTTGACATAAATGACTGAAACAGGCAGAGGTAACCATGATTAGCTGGATATTTGAAGATAATATTTTCTCCCCCTAATGGTGTTTTGGGCATATGCGGGTATGTGAAAAAGTCAGCAAGAAATTGAGAAAAATAGGAAAAAGAGAAACAGTGATTTAGTGGTGAGAATAACAACTTGGACAAACCAAACAAGGTAAGGAAATGTCCTGGGGTCACCAAGGCTTCTTCAGGTGTGTATTTAAACAACAAGAACATTCTAGGTTAAAGTCCCAGCAGGGATCTTTCTGTGTGGATTATATGTGTTCTACTGGTACATTTCTACTCCAGCCTGCTCCTCCTGTGAAAACATGGGTGTATGTTTACTTGGATATGTCCTCCTGTCTAGCTGTATGCAGTAGTTTTAAGGATGAAGTAAGTATAAAATCACAGCAAGGATCTAAAACAGAGCAGAACCCTTCTAAATAATGGTTTTCATTTTTTTCAAATGATAAAATATTGAAGTAAATTCCTATTATGGAAAAAGAAAGTGGTTTGGCATTTTGCAAGAATAATTTATACTTTTCTCTACCCACTAATATCTAGTTTACTCTGCCCCTTTGGCTGAGGAAGTCGGTATGGTGCTTCTTATTGGTTTCTTTTAGCCTCAAGCATCTTTTTTGAGGAAAGATTTCGCTACTTCTTATCAGAAGAAAGATGTTTGAGGGGTTTCTAGCAATTAAAGCCTGTTCCAGGTAACCTTACAGCAATCGCTGAGAGTTTTCAGTGAGTCCTTGGTCAGACTTAAAACGGTTTTTGTGTATTATCATCTTCCAGCATGAGTTTTTGCCACAGCTTCATTATTTTAACAAATACATCCTGACCCCTTCAGCCTCTGATCTAAAGCAGAAGTCATAACTGATTCTATGACGGTGAGCTGGTCAGATCCTACTGCAACATGCCCCAAGTCATGACATTTCCACCTCCATGCTTCACAGTTGGTTCTTTACCTAGAAAACTGCATTTAGTTTACGTCAAACATGCCCTCCTTTCAGGATTTAATAAGCCAGTTTTAGATTCCCATATTCAACATTATTCTGGAAGTCCTGGTATTTGTCTAAACTCTATACCTGATTTATAAATGTGAGCATTCTCTTTTTAATTGTATGAGCATCCACTCTTATATCAACAGAGAGAAGTGCCTGCTGTAATCCTCATACTGTCGGTATGACCATGGGGCCCACTCTCACTTCAACCATCAGAAGCTCTAAACTTAATATCTGAGGATAAAAAAAAAAAAACTCCTTAAAAATGTTGATTGAGGATGTTATAGTTATGAGCAACTGATATGGTGCACCTGCGTGTCATTTTATGAATTTCAGGTGGGAATTAATGCTGCAAATAATGTATTCATCATTGAATTATGATAGAATTCAAATGTATTATTATTTAATACTATCTTTAGTTTTGAGGAGCAATAAATAATGATGACATTGAGCGCATAGCAGCTAAGTTTACAGTACATTTCTTACTTATTGCTCTTTTTAACTCTAGTTAAGATATCCCTTAGACATATATATGCAGTGCTTTGTCAAAGTATTCAGCCCCCTTGAACTGCCTTTATTAGCATCTAAAGGTTCAGGTCTGAATCCATCATGATACCAAGATTTTTGCCAAAATCTGTGGTTTCTACTGATTGGTTTCTGTATTGGCTGCAGCTAAGTGCTAACTCTCCATTTCTCTTTCTTTGATTGTAAGATTGGTACCTCAGTTTTTTGGTTCCATTGGAGAAAATCATGCCACATTCACATGTTGATCTGTTCTAAGCATCTATCCAACACTCTGATTGGTTCATAGTCACCTGGTAACATTGTGATGTATAGCTGTGTTTCATCTGAACAGTTATGGTAACTGATGTTGTTGTTTGCTATAATCTGAGCTAAGGGGGCAGGTAGATATTGAATCAGAGGGGCCCCAGAATTGAGCTTTGAGGATCCCTGCTTGGGATTTTTCTTGTGTCTGAGTTAACGTTTCCTAACAATAAGATTGATCCTAGTCAAGTGCTGCACCAGAGAGGTCGATTTTATAGACTATTTTATAAAATTAAGTGATCAGCTCTGTGAAATGCTGCACTGAGGTCCAAAAGTACCAGCACTGTTGTTCAGCCACAGTCTTGTGAAGAGCCACAAGTGTCCCTCCTCGTCTGACCGTTTTTACCATCTACTTACGACCCCTTAGACTGCACATTATTACAGTTGTTATGATTATGATGATGATTATTATCATTATTATTATCATCATTACTATTATTATGAATGAACAAACACAGAGTAATAAGGGCTTGACTTTGTTCTCTGTACACAAATGCTGGATATATATCCTGTTTGTCCTTTTTATAATTATTCTTTTTTTCCCAACTCCAATTCGACCAATGTTTCTTTAACCAATAGTTATTTACAATTTAATTCTTTATTTAAACCAACCTCCTGGTCAGTATGTAGCATCCATGACACTAAGAAAATAGGAACAGATAAACGTAAAATAAAAAATCCACAGATGAATGCAATACAAAATCTATACATATATATCGTTACATGTATTAAAACAAAAAACACACATCTTGTATTATTGATTACATGGTGTAAACATAAAAGAAGAGAGGAAATAAATGTATCAAATTTTAGGGAATCCTGTAGGACCAAAACACGGTACAGGTTTTACAAAAGAAGTGAGAAAAAATATCCTCTGTTATGTGAATGCAAATGTGATGCAATGCCATTTATACAAAAAGGAATAGTGGCAAAGCCTAAAAACATAGAACATGATAATCTAAATTTAGTCAAAGACATTGTCTGGAGAATTTCTGTCACACAGTCTAAAATATGTGTCAATTAATGATGTTCCTCATGGTATATTTCTCCTCTTAAAAAATCTTTTTTGTAACATTCAAAATTTTTAAATAATCAATTTACGTACATGGAGAAAAGAAACAGAAACCTGCAATGGCAAAGGGATGCAAACAGCATGCACATGCACATTAAGCAAAAATTAGAATAGAAAACCAAAAAATGCAGCAAAGGCAAAATTAAAATAATACAGAAAACACATGCAAAATAAATAAAAAAAAAGTCTTGCAAAGGAGAAATGTTGTAATCACAGTTAAGTGGAAATGCCTGGTAAACACAGAATGGACAAAAACAGAGATGTGAAAAAGATCTAAGAGCTGTGTCCAAATTCATCCCAACATCAAACACTCTTTTGATGTTTAACAGATTAGGGTTCTGGGGCTTTTTCAGCTGAATCAATTAAACTGTTTATTCAAATCTAACATTTATTTGCTGAGAGTAAAACCCTCTGCATAACTTCCCTCCACTGAGATAGTGACTCATACATCAAACTGTACAGTTCTTCCATTAACAAACTTGTTTTTCAGATCCAGGTTAGCATTAGGATAAATATTAGGCATCATGGGTTTAGTGGAATTTGCTATCCAGGGTCAGAATATCAGGTTAGCAACTCTTCATTTGGTAACACAAACAAACACAGTCTTCATTACCCACATTAAAACTATCTGCTTTCATTGCACTTTACACAAACACACTGTGTCCTTCTGCCTCACACCCATTACAGGAATTCTGCATCCTTCTCATTTTCCCATCGCCTGATACATCAAAGAGCTCCTCTGATTGGTCCTCTGCTCAGGCTCCCCTGCAGCTAATCAGCTTGCGCTGTGGTGGTGGGACGCAGTATCTTGCCATGTGTCTGACTGCCGGGAAGCGTAAGGGATATACGAGCATCATCTCCTCCTCCTCTCTGTTTCCGGGAAGTGTATATGTGTGTGTGTCTTCCCTGCAGCATCACGATTCATCACATTGTTTTTGCTGTCAGCTGCTGAGTCATAATCTCATGATTTTATTGTGACTCTTCTTCTGAATTATTTTTTTTATTGCAGTTGACCTTAAAGCAGATGAAGAGACAAACCCACATCAGGGCTGCAGCAGTTGATGAGAATATGATTGATTATTAGATGTGTCATGCTTTGGTGATTACATCTGATAATTGGCAACACAGATTTAATAACCACATGCTTGCTGCCAAAGTTCTGTGCATTTCTGTTTCCATGTGCAAAGTGGGATTTGTCAACTTTTGGAAGATGTTACAGTTCCACCATCCATCTTCCATATCTGCCTTAAACAGTGTTGAAAAGTAACAAAGTACATTGACTTGAGTACTTACGTACTATTTTTTGAGTATCTTTGCTTTACTTGAGTTATCTTTTCTTTCTTTCTTTTTTTGGGGGTGGGGGGGACTTATAAGTTTCACTTCACTACATTTCAAAGTCAAATATTGTACTTTCTAATCACCTGGTTACTTGTTACTTTTTACTCAGTGAGTATAGTACTCACTGAGCTAAACTTCGGTAGACGTTTGACCCAGTTGTAGTTGTAGTTGAGTAAGATTTGACCACCAGTATCAATACTTTTACTGAAGTACTACTGTTGAATACTTTTAAGACCTGCCCTGGACAACCTGCTGCCAAGAGGGAACACTTATTAAAAGCGTGCAAGAGCGTGCACAAGCCCATTTCTCCTCGTGCATGCTCTGTTAAATGTTGCTGTTTGCATCGCTCATACAAGGTTACTTTCCAAAAGAAGATTTGCAGTTTTTCTACTATGTCAGACTCACCACCAGTAAGTGAAAATAGGAATGAGCACTTAGAACGGCCTTACGTAAACATATCACCAGAATATTGACAATTAGGGGGACCCCTTATTTTGTTGATCCACCCAGAAAAAGAACATCCCAGAAGTCAGTCCTCTCCTTTCCCTGAATTCTGACCAATTTCCTGCTTTTCTCCTTTTGGCAG